TATCCATGAATATATTATCCTGTAACAATGCAGTATCAGAATGCCTCACTTTAGAGAATATATAAATAAATGAGCTTCTAAAGACTCATATGTGAGATTGATTTGACAATAGCAAACGCTATTTTTCTATTGCCTTTTATTATGAAATTTGAAATATGTTCCTATGAAAATAAGTCTGACCCCAAAATTGGAATAAAAACATTTTAAAGCATAGGAGACCTTTAAGAATAAATTATTTAAATTTAAAAGACATATTTAAGAAAAAGTATAAATAATTGATATCTGAAAAATTAAAAACAAACAAAGTGCTATTATTCTTCTGTTTGGCAAAATATATTAGTGGTATAAAGGGAAAATAACACTTAAAACTCATACTAAAAGTCTCTTGGTTTCTATCCAATCACCTTCCCTCCAGTGGTCTTGAGACATCGGTATTGGAAAACATCCAGAGCTCAGCAGGCCTTCAACTTGAGAGGACTTTATTTCTACAGACCTTAGTGTGGAGAAATCTGACCACCCCACCCCCCCGCCCAGCAATCCCATGCAACCCTCAGAACCATCTTTCAGTTGATCAACAGCTGCACATCTGCACTCTGGACTCTGGTAGACTTGGCCCAAGGTCATAATTCCTATCAAAGGATAATCCTTGCAGTAAAAACGAGAGAAGGGCAGATTCAGAGGCAGTACTGCGTCCAGAACACATTGTTTGTGTCCTAGAAATGCACATGTAGGCCTGCGTATACACAGTTTGGAGGAATCTTGAGTTGTCACCCCAGTAATAATTAAGCAGGACCAACTCCTGGGTGTAAACTTAGAGTGACATGTCAAAGGATGAAGGATAAGAATCCTGACACGTTTTTGGTCAGTCTCCCACAATAGACTTCAGAGTACTGTTATATATCCATACTAGCCATCTGATCTAACCACGAGGTACATTGGGACAACTCAGAGAAGGTTCTTATCTGAACCACAAATTTCTACTCAAATCCCAGTGGTTCTCTCTTACTCATAGGATGGAATCAGAACTCCTCTGTTTGGTCCAACCTGCCCTACCTCACCAGTCTCCCTGCTCATCACTCCTCTAAGCTGTCCCATTGGCCTAACTGCCATTCTGAACACTATTCCATGGAGAGGAAGGGGGTGGGGCTAGAGCCAGGGGAGCTCAGGAGAGCCAACTGGTAAATTGTCAGTGTAAAAGCAGAACCAAGAGAACTTTGTATACAGTAATAGCAATATTCTTTTAAGAATGACTGTGAGCAAATAAGTCATTTTAACTATTATGAATACACAAAGTAACTATAAAGGACATATGAAGAAAGATGCTATCTGCATCCAGAGAAAGAACTGATAAATAGAAGTATGTATAGAACAAGTTTTCATATATATGTGTGTGTGTGTGTGTGTGTGTGTGTGTGTGTATGTATGTATATATTTGTACCTATTTGTGTCTAATGGTAGCCATCTCTAGGGTGGGGGAGGGGAGAGAGGGAAGAAAATAAGGGAAAAAATAGATTTGCAGTTTCATGTGCAATCATATTTTTATTATGATGTTATAGAAATATAAATAAATGTGAAAAAAATTTTCAGTGTGAGCATTTACATCTTGGAAATAAGCAAATACTCTAAATTGGGGCTTGATTTATTAAACTTAAGAAAGTGATAATAACGCCCATTAAACTTTAAAGTGTGGCATGTATACATTTTTGTTTTGAAAGCCTAATTGTTAAATATTTACCAACAGACCCCTGAGCATCTCCCATCTCCTCCATTACACTGTAAGCCCCTTGAGAACAGGGACTGTATTTTGCCTTCTTTATATCCACATATAACCCAAGGCACATAGTAGGCACTTGAGAAGTGCTCTTAGCTGATGGCTCAGTGCTTTTGCACCATCTTCTGTCCCGGGAATGTTCTCCCTCTACACCTACGCCTCGTGGAATCTCTGATTTCCATCAGGAATCAGTGCAAGTAACACCTACAGGAGACACTTTCTGGTCCATCCAGGGCAGTGCCTTCCCATACCAGGTTACCTTTGTATGTATCTTATATGTACCTCTATAAATGTCTGTTGTCTCTGCCATTAGAATGTAACAATGTTGTCTATTATTCTGCAAGAAATGATTAAGGGGGAGGGGGGGCTCGGAGAAACCTTGTATGAATAGATGCAGTTGTATGAACAGATACACAATGAGATAAGCAGAACAAGGAGAAGAATTTATACAATAATAACATTGTAAAAGCAAACAACTTTCAGAGACTTAAGAACTCCAAAGCAATCACCAGCCATGATTACAGAGCACCAGTGACAGGAAGGTGATTAGAACTACATGTGCAGAATCAGACACACATTTTTGTTTCACTTGATTTTGTACATTTGTTACAAGGGTTTTATGGTTGTTTCCGGTTAAGGTGGGAGAATGGGAGAGAAGGGAAAATTTTTTTAAAATTGTTTAAGAATATAACCTCCTCGAACATTGTACACAGTAACAGCAACATTGTACAATGACCAGCTTTGATAATCTTAGCTCTTCCCAGTAATGCAATGATCTAAGACCCAAAAGACTCATGATGGAAAATGCTGTCCACGTTTAGAGAAAGAACTATGGAGTCTGAATACAGATGGAAACATACTATTTTCTCTTTTTTTTCTTGTGGTTTTTCTCTTTTATTCTGATTCTTCTTTCACAACATGACTAATGTGGAAATGGGTTTAATATAATTAATTACATTAATTAATTAATATAATTAATAACATGTATAGCCTATATCAGATTGCTTGCCATCTTGGGGAGGGGGCAGGGAAGGTGGAAAGGAGGAGGGGAGGGAGGGAAGAAAAAATTTGGAACTCAAAATCTTATAAAAGTGAATTTTGAAAACTATTTTCACATATAATTTGAAAAAATAAAATACTATTAAATGGAACAAAAAAGAATATAACCTCCTTAAGGGCAGGAATTATTTCCTTTTATCTTTGCTTCCTTAGCATTTGTCACAGAGCCTGGAACATAGTGGGCACTTAATAAATGCTTATGATTGATTGAAACCCAACAGAGATCAAGCAAAAACTCATTGTCAAAAGTGAGTGGCGAGCAGAGTATAGGTTACAAATAATTAGGGGCAGCCAGGTGGCATAGTGGATAGATCACCGGCCCTGGATTCAGGAGGACCTGAGTTCAAATTTGGCCTCAGACACATAACACTTACTAGCTGTGTGACCCTGGGCAAGTCACTTAACCCCACTGCCCAGCCAAAAAAAAAACCAACAACAAATAATTAGCAAATAGCTGTGAATATTATAGTCAAAAATTGAAATTGAATTAGGAAAGCCTTCAGCTATTTGGCATCCTTCATCTGGACAAGTCTCGCAAAATCAACATAGATTCTTGACCAAAGCTCCTTGGTCAGTTCCCAAAGGAAAATAGGTGCCTTTGGCAGGTTTATGCAAAGTATCCAGGAACAGACAACGCTCTTTCAGTCTATTCTAAATCAGAATCAGTTCCAGGCCGCCACACCTAGCTCCTAGCCAATGCCTCATACCAGTTGTTCTTGAATGTGCCACCTGTAGTGTGAACAAGGCAACATGATGATGATGCTTTTATTTTTATTATTTTAAATTTTTTTTATATTTTTTCTCCAATAAATTTTTATTGATATCTTTTGGTTTTGTATCATCTAAATTTCTTCTATTATCCCTTTGCTTCCCTGTTCTTTTTTCTTTTTTAAAATTAATTTATTTTTAGTTGTCAACATTCACTTCCACAAGATTTTGCATTTCAAATTTTCTCCCCATCTCATCCCTCCCCCCCACCCCAATATGGCATGCATTCTGAATACCCCTAATCTGCCCTCCCTTCTATCTCTCCCCCCCTTCTCTTATCCCTTTCCCCTTCAATTTTCCTGTAGGGCAGGATAGATTTCTATACCCCATTTCCTGTATATCTTATTTCCCAGTTGCATGTGAAAACAATTTTTTTAACTTTAGTTTTTAAAATTTTGCATTCCAAATTTTCTCCCTTCCTCCCTCCCCACCCACCCTCTTTGAGAAGGCAAGCAACTCGATACAAGTTATACATGTGTAGTCATGCAAAACACTTCCATAGTAGTCATGTTGTGAAAAACTAAGTATATTTCCCTTCGTCCTATCCTGCCCCCCATTTATTCTATTCTTTCTTTTGACCCTGTCCCTCCTTAGAAGTGTTTGAAATATGATGACGATTGCCAGCATAATAATAAAGTTTCTCCCCCAAAAAAGGCATTCCATAAGGGTAGAACATATTTACAGCTTGTTAACAGATTGAGTTACTAAGGCAATTTCTGTGCTTGCCAATTTTTTGTGCTCAATTCAAGTGATAGGGCAGTTCTTTCATGTGCTCTGTGTGACCTTGGGTAAGTCTCGAGGATCCAGTTTCTTCTGGTGGAAAAGTAAGACGTTGAATTAGATGACCCCTGAGGTCCTTTCTACCTCATGATCTAGGATCCTAGGATGCTGTTCACTGATTGGTGGAGTCAATGAGAGTGGAGAGATACATTTACCAAACCAACCAAAGTAATCTCAAAAATCTCAAGTGAGTCTACAGCAGCTACCAAGTCACCCAGGTGGCAAGTGGCAGGGCCAAGATTTGAACCTTGCACCCCAAGTCTAAATCCACTGTACAATGATCCAGTAGATAATGCATAGTGATGCATTTTACAATGAGGTCCACGTCTTCCATACTAGATTATTGGACTTCTCCACCATTGGCCTTTAAAGAAAGACAAAGATCTATTCTATGTGCAGTTTTTTATTTGTTTTTGTCTTTTGGTGAGGCATTTGGGGTTAAGTGACTTGCCCAGGGTCACACAGCTAGTAAATGTCAAGTGTTTGAGGCCAGGATTTGAACCCAGGTCCTCCTGCTCCAAGGCAGAGCTTTATCTACGGCGCCACCTAGTGTCCCCAAAGATCTACTCTACAGTGGTGCTGAGTCTCACATGCGATATGACCATCAAAGAGGAAAGCCTACCATTTTGACCGAGTTACTCAGAGCTTCCCACTGGTGGAAAGGGATAGGAACCCTGCTTCTCCGCCAGTAGTCATAGCGATCCCGACTTTCCTCATTGGTCAGGATATCCTTGGCCTTCTGGAGTCTCTGGAAATTCTCCACTGGGGGGAAAAAAGGCAAATGAAAAATACTTTTCCCTTGGGAAGTTATTTTAAATCCCTAAAATGTGTTTCTATGCTTTTGACCCAATGCATATGACAGAAAGAGCCTGCTGCCATGTGGACAGCCCACTAGACTCCCCATTTATGGGTATGGTTATGTGATTCTCTGAATTCTATTCTGTTCTAGGTAAAATTAAGGCCAGATACCAAATAGGAATAATGGGGAGGAGAGGGCAAGTAAGTATAAATGAATCATGTAAGACTCCAATTCAATTCATCAATGACTTACTAAGCATTAGCCAAAAACCAAACCAGTACCTGCCTTCAAAGAGCTTATACTCTGCCAGAGGGGTATAGCAAATGCAAGGGAGAGTCAAGGATTGAAGGGAAATGATAGGTGATTAGTAATAATGCACAAAGCCAGTCAATGGAAGGGACCAGAGGAAGAATTTATTTAGTGCCTACTGTGTGCTAGGCTACGTGCCTATGTGCTCAGAACTTTACAAATACTATCTCGTTTGATCCTTACAACATCCTTGAAAGATAGGTGCTGTTATTACGCCCATTTTCCCTTTTTTTCTTTTCTTTTCTTTTTTTACAACAAAAATAGCTTTATAAAAAAATTGGTTCACGCCCCAGGTAGCAGCCCATTTTCTTCTGTTATTGTCATCATCTTAGTTCCAACCTTGGTTCACATCTCATCTCTACCACTCGCTACCTGTGTGTACCCCTGTTTTTCAATTGAGAAAACTGAGGCTGACTGAAGTTAAGTTGCCCAGGATCAAACAGCTAGTAAATATCTGAGGCTGGATTTGGACTCAGGTCTTTCTGATTCCAGGCCCAATTCAGCTGCCTAGGAATCGACATGTCAAGTTTGGGGAATGATCAATCACTTAACGAGCGCATATTAAATAGCCTAGAAAGGGCTAGACTCCCCGTGCCCAAGACTAGAAGCAGCTCATGGGCTTAGGGCCAGACGTAGGAGCCCCTTTGGAGAAGTGGGGGGGGGGTGCCTCGGCTGTGTTATTTTATGTGTGTGTGTGTGTGTGTCTGTGTCTCTGTGTGTGTGCCTCAGCCCCCCAACTGAAGTGCTAACTCCATGAGGACAGACACTTCTCTGTATCTTCTCTGAGTCAGCATCTTCTCCAGGACACTGGAACAAAGCACTTAAGAGCATCAGTTCTTAATCTTGTTTGTGTCTTAGACCCCTTTGGCAGTGTGGTAAAGCCTGCAGACCCCTTCTTAGAATAATATTTGTTGCCTATATTCATAATAGAAGGAAATGCTAAATTTCAGTTATAAGTTAGTGAAAATAAAGCTATAATTTTTTTCTCAAATTCATGGGCTTCCTGAAATAAACCGCCCAGGCCCCTTTGAGTTGGGGGGGGGGGTCAATGGATCTCCAGTTTAAGAACACCTGCTCTAGGGTCATACAATCAGGACTTAATTAGCATTTGTTGGGTTGAGTGTATGTTCATCAGGCTGATATTTCCCTCCTATCACAGGCACAAAAGTTGTAGAGGTTTTCTAGTATTATGAGTTAGGAATTATGAGCTATGAGTCACTTTCACATGGTGCAAGATGGAGACATTATCATTTGGGTTTTCCAGAGGGAGAGTTTGAGCCTCTATTAATGTTGATCAACACACAGCATTGATAAACAAAGATCAAAGGACAGATTTTCTTTGCTGGCAAGCTGTCTTCCCCTTTCTCTCCCTTCCTTCCCCTCCCTCCCCACTGTAGAAAGTAAAAGCCAATTTCATTTGATATATGTTTTTCAATATGTGAAGTAATCAAATGAATCACATAAGATAAACATTCCCATCTGCAGAAAATGGGTTTCTGTTAATCAACCACAGGAACAAATCATGTGGAAGAGTCTTAAAAAGGATGATAAAACCAAAGGCTTCAAGCTCTGCTCTGCTGTGGGGCTAGATGGGCTTCTTGGTGTGTTCTACCTATTTCACCATGTAAGTCTTTGTCACTGCCTCATTTCTCATGTGTTAAAATCATTGCAAAGCTCAATTTCATTGATTGGTAAGGCAAGGCAATGTACCTGTTGTATCTGGCGTAAGGGTTTGTGTTGTTTTTCAGGCAATCAAGGTTAATTGACTTGCCCAGGGTCACCCAGCTAGTACGTGTCTGAGGCCAGATGTGAACTTAGATCCTCCTGATTCCAGGGCCGGCTGTCTATCCACTGTACCACTTAGCTGACTCTAGCTTGAGATTTCAAGGGAAAGATTCTAGTCATATTCAGCAAACTCACCTTGCCACAACATATGGATACAAAACAGAATGTACATGTACATAACAAAGTGTAGCCACCTGTGGGGCCCCTAACTGGTCCAGGTCCTGGTAGACACTGTAGCACACACAGAGACCAGGAGCAGATCAGCTCTACTCAAGGCTGAACAAACATCTGAGCAGTCCACTGAGGTGCATTGAAGACCCACATTTAGGGCTGAAAGACATCAGAGGTTATCTCATCCAAACGCTCAAGGTGACAGATTAGCAAACTGAGACTCAGGGAGATAAGGTCACTTGTCCAAGACCATATAGGACCATACAGGTACAGAAGCAAGGCTCAAACTTAGGTCCCCTCTTTCCATTATACCAAGCTGCCTCTCCTTTGGTTATAGATGATTTTCAAGGTTGGATTAAGAATAATTGCTTTGCTTTAATCCATAAAGTTGCCAAGAAGACCCCAAATAGTGTCATGAAGAGTCAGACATGACTGATATGACAAAACAACAACAAAATCCATAATTCATGTAGAAAATTGTTGTTCTAAGGAAGGCGTTACGATCTGAAAAACAAATTTATGAAGCTACTAGCACTGACTCAACATCGGAAGGGCTACACAAAAACAGGTATATTGTTAGTAAAGCCGTGAATTGGCATAACCATTCTAGATACAAATTTGGAATTACCTAAGGAAAATGACTAAACTATTTGTACTTGTTGACCCAACAATACTACTACTGAGCACAAATTCCAAAGAAGTCAAAGAGGAAAAAAAAACAAACTAATCGATCCCAAAAAATTGATTACTGCATTCTTTGTGGTAGCAAAGACCTAGAAATAAAGTGATTGTTCATCAACTGGGTAATGGGTAAATAAAACTATGGGATATACCTTCTGCCAGAGAGGTGATGAATTCAGGATGTAGAATGAGATAGTTTTGGATAGAGCCAATGCGGAAATTTATTTTGCTTGACTGCATATTTGCTACAAGGGTTTTGTTTTTCTTATTTTTTTCCCTCAATGATGAGAGGGGGTAGGAGGAAGATAAAATATAATTGTTAATTTAAAAATTAAATTATTTTTTAAGGCCTATGGGATATGAATATAAATTTTTTGTTTGTTGGGTTGGACAGGAGGAAGACAGCAGGCTGGATTGTCTTCAGGAAATTACAAAACTCCTTTAATGACTCCAGGCTTCTTATGGAATCTGCTTCTGCACTGTTGATGTAGCCACTCCACCCTCCAAACTAGACCATACTCAGAAGGAATTAGGTTACTGTACTCAGTTCTTAACTCCCTAGGAACATATTCCACTCTGACTCCTTCTCTAGAGTAGCCTACCCCCATTATCTTTCCACCTCCCATTCTGAGAACTGCAATCAAACCAATGTTACCATGGCTTCTCAAAATGACATGTCAATGCCCTTTGTTATGGCACCATTTGCCATCTCTACAACTTCCCAGATCAAAACTCCTTTCCCTGGCCATCAATCAATCAATCAATCAATAAACCTGTATCAAGTGCCTACTAGATGCCAGGCACAGTGCTAAGCACTAGGGATACAAAAAGGGGGGAAAGACAGTCCCTGCCCTCAAAGAGCTTACAATCTAATTCCTCTATATGTGTTGTCTTCCCCTATTAGAATGTAAGTTTCTTGAGGGCAGGGCCTGTCTGGTTTGCTTATAGTTGTATTTCCAGCACTTGCTGTGTGTGAAGCGCTACACTAAATGCTTAATAAATGGTTTTTCATTAATTCATTCATGGAAACAACGGCCTGTCATTTTAACAGCACCATTCTGCCACCGTCACTGTATGGCAACAAGCCATAGAATGCAACAGACAATGGAAAAGCGTAAGGTAAGTAACCTTAAGATGCAAAATAGAACCAATAAGGAAATTCACAAAAGATCAGGAATGATGGATGTCATCAATGAAATGTATGATGGGAAAAGAAAGGTTGCTCAAGAGGCAAGGGCAAGGGTTGGTGAGTGTTTCTCTGGAACCTTCAAAATGTCAGAGAGAAGATCAGGCTTCTGGCACATTGGGTGGATCCCGTGTGGAGAAGTTAGGGGAGATCCTGCAGAAGGATCACATAAGGTAGGAAGGGTTGCAATCTGCATTACTGGAGGAAACTTCCAAATAGATGAAATCGTGGATCTATTTGAGTATGGATATCATGGAATAATATTGTACGATAAGAAATGACAGAAAGACAGGAATCAGAGAAACATGGGAAAATACAGAGTAAAATCAACAAACCCCAAAGTCAATATATGAAATTGCTACAACAATGTAATTGCGAAGATCACTAAAAGGGAATCCAAACCCAGGGATGCCGCAAGTAAGCATGTACACCAAGAAGGTCATTGATAAAAAGGAAAGCCCAAATACATACCAAAGTATTTGTAGCAGTATCTTTTTTTTTTTGTGGTAGCAAAGAACTGAAAACAAATCAATGTCCACTGACTGGGAAATGGCAGAACAAATTGTGGTACACTGATGTAATATGACTGTGTTGTAAGAAACAACAAATAAGATGACTACAGAAGAGCAAGTAAGGACTTACAGGAACTGATTCAGAGTGATATAAGCAGAGCTAAGAAAACAATGTACACAAAGAATACACCCATGTAAATGGTGCACCACAGAACAATAGAAGGTAAATGCAGCAAAATTACAAAGAATAGGTTTCGCCCCAAAGAAAAGGTATTTGCAGAGGTCCTGGCTTTTCTGTCTTACGAAAGAAGATACAGTG